GCAGTGTTAGGTACTTGTGATTCCAGTCTATGAGTCTTGTCCTCTAAGGTATCTGCAGAAGTGGTGTTAGCAAGCATAGCACATCCTACACAGGTCACGACTGCTGACCCACTCTCCATTTGTGCTTCCTTTTTTCATGGAGGACACCTAGGCTGCAAACAAATGAAACAGAAAAAATGGGAAGAGGTATGGAGTAATTAAGAGAACAAAATGGCCAAAGCAAGGAGAGTGTGATTAGTGGAACATTCATGACCATTAAAAAGGAAAAAGTGTCATTAATGCCTCTGGAGGAAAGAGTGGGAATGAGCAGGAATCATGTAGATTACAATGAGCCATGAAATCAACTGATTCCTTTAATTGGGAGTCATGAATAGAAATGCCACTGCTGAGCAGTGTTTTAAACTTTGAGTGAAGTAGTGAGCAAAGCATGGTGTGACTACACCCCCCTATACTGCTCCCTCCTCCCTCCTGCCCCCTCTGATCTCCCACGTAGCTATTTTACAGCAATTCCATGTTTCTGTTCTGGGCAGGAAATCAGCTTCAGTGCTTAAGACACATGCCCCACGTTTTGAAGGGTAATTTGTGGGAAAACGTGTGTTTAGCATGTGAGTGAATATGGTAGCTTAAAATAAAGTTAAAATGTTAGGGTACACGTGTGGTACTAGCTGAACTTAAAGCATAATAGTGCCATTTAAAAAAAAACCTAACTCTGCATCTGAAGGAAAAATATGCTGCAGTGTAGAAGGTCATTTACATCCTACTTTCATGTTTTGGAACCTTCTGTTCCTCCTCCTCACAGGAGTAAATTTAATCCAAAAAAGATTTCACCATTTCACTGTTTTATTGTTTTTCTCCTACTCGAACAAGGTGAAAATGTTTGAATGCTCACTGTCACTTAAAGGGGGAAAGAAAACCTCAAATGGGTAAGAACTAACCCTCTCCTCCCACCCCCCCTCATCACAATCTTTCCTCAAACCCCATTCTTGGGCAAACAAACATAGAAAGATGATGAGTTTCAACAATTTCAGCAACATATGGGTGAATGAAAATGGAATGGAGCTTTTTTGTACACTTGGCCAGGACTTCAGCTGCATGAAAACTTCGTATGGCATCATTTTTATATAAGTGCATGCAGACATATTTTTACTTTATTTAATTTTTTTTAATCAGAAGACTAGAAGTTTTTGGGTAATCAATATTTTATGAATGTTATTTTTCCCATAATTGACAGACAGAGCATCCTTTTAACCTTTTCTTTTAGGTTATATTTTTTAAAAATTGAACCTGTAGAAAGGTTTTTGCATAAACTGTAAGAGGGACAGTTGTAATCGGTTGTTTTTTTTTAATTTAAGACCTTTTCAACCTGATTTGTGATAGACATGGAATTGTTATGTAGTTATCTAGAAATATGGATGAGTAATATTTTCATAAAATTGTATATCCTAGTCAGTGAGGTAGGGTTCCTATATGACTATGGTTGATTGCAAGAAGAATGTACAGGAAAGCCACACAATAGATTTAGATAATTATAACCAAGCTCATATTTGGAGGACAGTGGGGCAAGCTATTAACTTCTGAGGATGCTGTTTTTCGTAAATTGCAAACCTTGTTTTGCCAAAGCTAAATGCTTGTGATCAGAAGAAGACTAAAGTATTAAAAAGAATTATTCAGAGGAAGAATTTGTGGCATCACTTGTCAGAGCCTATCTAGGGAGGCATGCTGAGACACAGGGACTCTGGAGGAGATGTAAAGAACAGCCAGGGTCAAGAGTGATAAGCCATGAGGAAAAGAGATACCCATGTCTACTGTCTGTTCTGTTGTTCATAAGAGCTTTTCTCTAAAATCCTTTCGGTCTAAGGAAGTAATATTTTGCTTTAAAGAGGTTGTCAGGTTACTGTATTAGGCATTGTTACTGCACTTGGGGGGAAGAAGATTGCAAGGAATGGAACAAGCTCAAATCAGACCTACTGCAGTAAGAGCAGCTAGTGCTATGGGGCTGGAGTCAGAGGGCACTTTTTCATATGTAAGCACCGCAGTGCTTGGTGCTGTGATGCTTGCAGTTGTGTAAGTGGTGAAATGCACGTCAATGCTGAGAAATTGGCAGTGGTGCACTTTTGAACTAAAACACATAGAAGGTGCTTTAGTTCAAAAGTGCGCCGCCACCATTTTCTGCACGCTGATGTGCATTTCACCACCTACACAGCTGCATGCAGTGTGCATCAGGTCACATGCGGAGCAGACTCGCTTAATTGAGTCTGCTCCAAAGTGGCAGATCTCTGGCATGTCATGGGACAAAACAGTATGTGTATAAATGACCTGAGAGTGGAAGACCAAGCCTAGATGACAGCTAGAGGCCTGAGACCAGGCAGACTGACCACTTAATGGGATCAAGAACTGTGGAACCAACACACATGATTAATTTTTGACATTTGTGAAAGATGCTCTGCCAGTCCCCAGGAAAATAGTGTGAATTACATTTTAATGAATTAATCACATTTCATTTGATGGTTTGTTATTTTACTGACTTCTAGTTTAAGATGATAAATGCTATTTTTGACATTATTTGTTTATCTGTGTGGCCCTCAACCCTGCTGCATGTTAATGCATCCAGAGGATTTAAATGTTATAAATATCAACAATAACCTTTCTATTCTGTCTGAGCTTGCTTGAGAAATCTGGTTTGATTTTTAAAATTTGATTGACCTTTAAATGGGGTTGATTTTATTTATGAGTGTTGCATCTGTGGGTATGTATGAAGAACTTGTGGATGGAAGGCTAATTAATAAATTCATTTTTCAAGTATGCCTGATTCAACACATACTCAAACTCCTAGGTAATAAGTATGCTAGGAATTCCATTAAATTTTATTTGGTGTCTTATACATGTTAAGGTATGCATGCCCTTAAATATCTTGGCATATCAGGGCCTTAGTTTGGCAGACAACAAGATCTAAGATCATGCTGTGGAATGATTTAAAAAAAATTCTGCTTCAGTTGTGTATATAGTCCTGATGCTTTGGAGCACTGCATTTAAGATTTTTTTTTTAAGTGCACTGTAGGCCAAGTATAAGATGTTGGACTGTCAGTCTGAAGCACTGAATATCTGCATGTATTCTTAGGGTGGATAAAATATGGGCATTGCACACTATCTTGTCGAAATGTTGCAAGGCTGACCTAAAAGAATGACTCTATGATTTGGAGACGGATTTAAGGTTAAACATTTGCTCACCACTGTCTTTGAGAATTTCAGCAGGTGTGGTTTTTTGGACCCCTGTCCAATAAGAGGTAGAAGGAAGGGTAGAATCACACCTATCTTGTATGTTGAGCTGGTGCTCAACCTTTTTGCCTGGCAGACTGGGTGGGCAGTGCTTGATCCCTCTGTGGGCTGGATCTAGCAGGGTCCCATCCAGTCATGCAGAGGGTGGAGTTGGGGGCATCCTGATCCTGATCCCACTGTGTAGTAGGTGGGGGTTTGGTCTTGCCACAGCCTGGCCCTGTCGGGGGGAGTGTGCTGTGACCTGGCCTGTACAGCCTTGTGCGAGGAGGGGGCATGGCCTAGCCCTAATCTAGCTCTGCACGGGGAGAACATGTGGCTCAGCTGCACAGAAGGAAGGGGGCATGGCGGGGCCCCAACCTTGCCGGTTGGAGGAGGGGGGGGTGGTCTGTTTTAGATTTGGCTTTGTTGGGGAAGGATCATGGCCCAGATCCAACTTGCCCCGTGGGGCTTCAGATTTTGGCAGTGGGGAGGGGTGGCAGTCTGCCGCTGTTCCCCTGGCACCGAATTTCCCAACCTGGGGGGAGCGCCACAGGCCAGATTCCAAAGCTCTGCAGGCCACACTTGGCCAGTCAGCTGGAGGTTGATCTCCCCTGTTATAATATGTGCATGTGTGCGTGCCTCAGCTTTCATGGGCTGAAGCTCACTTCATCAGATCTGCTGGAGTGTGTGTGTGGCGGGGGGGGGGGGGGGGGG